AAGGAACGAGATTGCCGAGGCCTTCTACATGATCTTATGGACAAGGGCCAGTCATATGTGACCACTGTCGGAGGTGCCATCTCTGGTGGTCAAAAAGGGACGATGAGACTCATTACCTCTTCTCAGAGTGTGCAGCAAAGAATGTCCATGATGAATCGCGAGCATCGTGTTGAGAAGGGTGACAAGATGTTGCAAGGCCTGGTGGAGGGAATGTTAAGTCCGGAGGCAACAACCGACGAATGCGCCTTTGGACTGCGAGATGAGCCTCTGCTGGATGATGCCTTGACACCTGAAGGGAAGAAGAGGGCGCAGAAGCTCCTTCGCACCCTCCATGTTCGGTCAGGGCATCCTTCGAATCAGACCCTGGCATCCATGTTACGTGGAAGGGGGGTACACCATGAGATTGTAAAGATGGCCTTGGAGATGCAGTGCCAGGATTGTTTAGAGACCAGGCTCGCGACGCCTCCCCCAGCTGTGTCCCTACAACAATCCGAGGTTCCCTGGAAGGTGATCGTGTTGGACAATGCGGAGTTCCGTGTGGGTGATCAGGTGATCCACTTTATGCTGATCGTGGACGAGGCTACTCACCTGGCAACCGCAACCGAGATTTTCCGACGACATGTGGATGAAGGGAGAAACGCCACTGGAGAAGAGGCCCTTCTCGCCATCGAGAAAAGCTGGATTCAGATGTTCGGATACCCCGATCGCATCCGCTTGGACCCTGAAGGATGTTTCAGGTCACGACTCCTGGAAGACTGGGCAGCCGAGCGGGGCATCGAGATTTTTCCGAATCCTGGTGAAGCACACCATCAGACTGGCTTGGTGGAGTCCCTCATCGGCAAGATCAAAGCAGATGCCACGACTCTCTTGCATGGAGAAGAAATGGACCCATACCGAGCCATCCTGAACATGGTGACGGCTCACAACTCGATCCACCGAGTCCAAGGCTTCTCCCCCGCGCAATGGGCGTTCGGCCGTGATTTTTCTTTCGGCGGTCGCCTATTTGAGAGTGACCAACAACTTCCTGCCATCGAACGTCAAGCAGATCCAAGACATGCTTTTGGACAGTCATTGAATACTCGCATGGCTGCAGAGGAAGTGTACCGGAAGTCGACGGCGGCATTCCAATTGAGCAGGCTTCTCAACATGCGGACCAGATCTCAGCAAACCTTTCTCCCAGGTGATGTCGTGTTCTACAGGAGGGAGAAAGTGCCGGCTGATAAGCCAGCACATGAAACCCTGGGCATCCCGAAGGCGAAGATGGCCAGATGGTGGGGTCCCGGAAGAGTTGTCGCTTCCGAGACAAGGTCCGATGAGAAAACAAGGAGGCCAGCTCAGGTTGTGTGGATTGTGTCAGCTGGAAGACTGAAGCGGTGTTCCCCAGATCAGCTCAGACATGCTTCAGACCGTGAACGAATCCTAGCCGACAGTGCCCATGAGCAAATCACTCCTGGCTGGACCTTTCACAGCTTGATGCAGGGTCTTGGAACAGGACACTACGACATCTACGACGACTATGTGTTGCCTGAGGACCGGAGCAGCGCCACCTTTCGGAGAACTGGAAGTCGTGCCCCAAGGTCAAGGACTCCGGCGAGAAGTGTGGCACCACATCCTCCAGATGCAGAGATGGAAGGCGTTAAGCCAAGAGCTGAAGTGTCATCCAGAAAAGAAGTTCCAAGAGCCGAAGTGTCCTCCAGAAAAGAAGTTCCAAGAGCCGAAGTGTCCCCTAGGATTCAGAGTACGAGCAGCGGCAGTGGTGGTCAAGGCGAGCCATTTAGTCTGCAGAAATACCTACAGGACCCCAGCTATGAGCCTGACATCTTCCGGAAGGCAATGGAGCGTCGTGCGCATTCCCCAACCCTGGGCGACCTCCTGGATGAGCCTCGCTTCAAGCAAGCACGCGCGCAGCATGAACGGCAAGACCGACCTCTACATGTCATTCAACGAGAAGGACAAGCAGGGCTTCCTTCTCACGCCATGCAAGATGCTCAACCAGACCCTTCCTTTCTCGGCTACATGGAGGAGATGCAAGAGGATGAATCCATCATGTGCTCCTTTGATGTGACCCTGCCAGAGAAAGAAAGTCAGTGGAAACGCTTCAGACGAGATCCCTCAGCGTGGTTGGTGAAGGGCATGAGGAAGCAGGAGGTGCAGTACAAGCGACTTGGGCCTGAGGAACGTACTGGCTTTGACAAAGCCAAAGAAGCAGAGGTGGAGCAGTGGGTCAAAGAGATGGCGGCAAAGAAAGTGTCCACCTATGTGCCTCCTGAGCGCGTGATGCGGATGAGATGGGTGCTCACTTATAAAGACACAGGAGCACCCAAGGCAAGGATGGTTGTGGTTGGCTTTGAAGATCCAGATCTGGAGACGTTGGTGAGTTCGAGTCCGACTATGTCACGAAGAACCCGACAGATGTTCTACCTCATGACAAAGCTCCAGGGATGGTCTTCGATGAAAGCCGATGTGAAGGCGGCGTTCTTGCAGGGGAGCTCCTCGCAACTTGCTCGCAACGTGTTCGCGCGACCAACCCCGGAACTAGCCAAGGCTCTCCATGTTCCGGAGGGCCATGCCATACAAATTGTCAAGGCCGCGTACGGATTAGTAAATGCTCCAGCCGAATGGTTCAGAGATGTAAACCGCACTTTGACTGGGTTGGGCATGCAACAACTCAAGAGTGAACCGTGCGCCTGGAGGCTGGTGAAGCAAACACCCGCCGGTCCGCGTCTGATAGGCTTGATAGCTGCACACGTGGACGACTTCCTGCTGTCAGGCAACGAGGCATGTGAGGAGTGGCATGAAGTGGTCAGCAAGTTCTACGCGAAGTACCGCTGGTCCCCATGGGAAGTGTCACCATACAACCACTGTGGCGTGCGAATCCAGGAATCGAACAACGAGGTCACCATGGATCAGTCCACCTACTGCGGCACCCTGGAGCAGATTGAGTACCAGAAGCGAGATGAAAACCTGCCGGCGACTGCTGAGGAGGTGTCTCAGTTGAGAGGCTTGTTGGGTGGCATTCAGTGGAGAGCGTACTCAACGGCTCCTCAACATCTCGCAGTGCTGAGCATGCTCCAATCCCAGGTGAGCAAGGCGACTGTGAAAACCCTGATGATGGCCAACAAACTATGCCGAGAAGTATATCATCAACGCCAGAATGTCCTGAAGGTGGTCAACCTCGAGATCGCCCCGGAGGATGTCACATTTGTGGCATGGTGCGACGCGGCAGTCGGAAATCGACCCGATCTTGCATCAACGGGCGGCTATGTCATAGCAGCTACAACGCCAGAGATACTCAAGGGCAACGTAGCACCCACTGTGCCAGTGGCATGGCGCTCGGGAAAGTTGCCCCGTGTAGCTCGCTCCAGCTTGTCGGCCGAGACTCAGGCTTGCAGCGAGGCCGAGGAGGAGCTCATGTATGTGAGATTCCAATGGTACGAGATGTGCGGTCACCCAGTGGATCTTCGCAAGGCGGCTGAAACAGCAAGAAACATTGCTGGAGTGATTGTCACGGATGCCAGGAGTCTTTACGACATCCTTCACAAGGAGGATTTGAATTCCTCTGCTGGCGGCCTCAGGGAGAAGTACACGGCCCTGGAAGCCCTGAGCCTCGTGGAGCGGATTCGTCTGGCGGCGACTGAGGTCCGATGGGTACATAGTGATGCTCAAGTAGCTGATGGCATGACAAAGCCAAATCCCAGCGGCTCTCTGTATGCTTTTCTTCAGCTCGGCAAGTGGAGGCTGATTTATGATCCTACGTTTACTGCTGCTAAGAAGCTTCGCAAACAAGGTAATCTTCGCTTGTAGGTTTTTGGGCGTGTTTGTTTCATTTGCTGAACAGCCTTCAATGTGCTGAGCTTGAAATCTCTTGATCCCTGTGCAAGCTCCGATAACCTTGCTTGCCGATGTACATTTCTCAAACTCCACCAGGGATCCCTTTTGCCTATGCTTTCCTCATGGAGGCTACGTGGAAGCCCGTGATTGGGCAGCGATCGACGGCACTGAAAACGAAGGCCTGCTTCTGCACAGTGCCCTGGCTTTTGTGGTTGAGCCTTTGGTTGCTACCAGAACCAACCCCATGGCCATTGATCCTATACATGAGCCTGGGTAATGATCATTGCTCTTGGCGAGTGTAGATGTGGCATTCTACTAAAAGTTTGTGAAGATACATGTTGGGTGTCCGCCTGGGGATGCTAGTACAAAAAATCCTCACCTGAAGTACCAACCCTCTGCTTTTTTCCCCACATACCTGAATTCCCACATACCTGCCCAGAGAGCCCAAAATCCCTTACTCAAGCAATAATCCTGAAAACGTATAGGGATCCTTTGTATGGTTTAAGGAATATTCTTTAATTAAGGGGTATGGGCTCTTTGGGTGAACTCCCTGAGGGAATTGCAGATGGCACGCCGCAAGGAACGTATTCGCTCCGGGCGCCAGAAGCCATCGAAGTTCCAGCTCGTCCGGGAGCAGACATTTTGAGCCGTGCAACAACGCAGATCTACCAATCAAGGTCTGGAATCAACAAGGCGATGGAGAGAGAGCCATGCAGCTAGCTGTCGCATTTCCTGGCCGAGAACGCTGGGGTTTCAGCGTGTGGGGCCGAGGACAGCTGCGTCAATGTACAGTGTACAGTGATCTCGTCATCAAGCATCGCACGCCGCCTGAAAAATCAGCGATGCTGTGATACTAATTACCAATCGCTTAAGAACCCCCCAAAAAAATCAACATGTTCGTCCTTATAAGGGCAATTATAAGGGGGATTATTATCTCCTTTTTTTTGGGGGTTCCTAAGCAACTAGTAGTGCTGTGATTGTTCAGGAAAGCGCGGGATCCTTTCAGTATTGCAAGGTACCCCAGTCCTTTCAACGCGTCAGGCTTCCTAAGGCGCCAGCCTGCAAGTCTGCGAGTTGTAGAAAACCCTAAACCCTAAACCCTAAACCCTAAAACCTAAACCCTAAACCCTAAACCCTAAAAGAAAAATCTTCAACATCACCCGCGCAAGGTCTCTGGCCAGCTCCAGGACCGAACGGGGATGCAAAAACCCTAAGTCCTAAACCCTGCTAAGCCCCTTGAAGCCAAGCTTCCCCGCTGCTGCCCATTAGGGTTAGGGTTTAGGGTTTAGGGTTTAGGGTTTAGGGTTTAGGGTTCAGGGGTTTGCCTAATTTCCCCACTACGACCCGCACCATTAGAGTCTATAGGGTTGTTGGGGACCCCACTTCCCAGACCGGCCGGTAAGAGCAATTTATGGTCTCCAAACGGCTTGGCCAGATCAGATTAACATGGGTTTAGGGTTTAGGGTTTAGGGTTTAGGGTTTAGGGTTTAGGGTTTAGGGCTTAGGGTTTAGGGTTTAGGGTTTAGGGTTTCAGTGTGTATCTCTCCATGAGCTAGAAGACACAAGGTGCGGGTAATCTGGCCTCCCTGGACCTTATACATGCCAACGCCTCTTTGAGCATAATATCCTTAACCCTTAAAACCGTCATAAAGCAGACCCTCAATCCGACATAGACATGAAGCGAGAGGAGCAGCATGCGCTCCTCCCGGGTCACAGGAACGCTTCCCGGATCACGCCGGGAGACCTAGACTCTTTGAGCCTGTTGGGGCTGCCTACTTGGAGGTAGGTATACGTGAGGTTAAACGGGCTACAAGTATAGTACCATACTTATAACCCTGATGCTACTAACAACCCATGAACCTTCAAGTACTTGGTGTTTTGATGCGCCGAAGTGATGCTTTAAATCCAGCAACTTGGCGATCTTGCCAGGTATAGGACGGTCCTCTCCCAGGCCCAAGCCCTACTTGGAGGTTCATGGGACTTAATAACCACTTAGAACTGGGCTTGTAACCCCACTTATACTTGGGATAACCCCTATAAGGCCCTTTAGGGATATTATAAGTAGGGTTATAAGTACAGTTATAATTGATTAGTAAGTACCATGAACCTCCAAGTAAGGCCCTCTGGAGCTGGAGCAAGGCTAGACATCTGCTCTCACTTCTCGCTTCACTCATCTCTCACCCTAACCCTCAGGGAGCCCAGCACCCCTTAAGTGAGGACTCTGGGCCTGTCTTGGCCAGTCTATTTGGCCGCCAAGAAGCGAAACTTCCAGTTCCCATCTGCAAGGTCGCAATTCCTTGGAGAGCTCCCGCGCGGGCTCCCGCGGAGGATCGCGGGCCCAGTCGCCGGCAAGGCGCGCGCCCGAGCTCTCGGCTGATCAGGTCCGGTTTTGCCCTTGGCTTCACTCCCGGTGCGACCCTAAAAAATGGAAATTCCAGAGACCCTACCTAATTATGAAAACCCTATCCCCTGAACCCGAAACTTCCTAAACCCTATATGCAAAACCCTCTGAAGCCTTTCAAGTGCAAATGGGTATTTCCCAAAATATCGGTACCCCTTTCATACTCAAGGATCTTTAGGCCCCAACAAGGGCACCCCCATTTTCGGAAACCCGTGAGAAGCCTGAGCTTCCGCTCTTCGTTGTCAAAGCCCTGCGCAGGTCTGAAACTTCGGCAAGCAGGCGCGGAAGAGTTGCTGACCCCAACGGTGTAGGGTTTTAGGGTTTTGGGGTTTAGGGTTTGGGCTTTAGGGTTTCGGGTTTAGGGCCCAACCTGCCCCTTAGTTCAGGAATACAGCGTAAATCAAAATTTGGATGCCTCTGTGCGTAGGGTGTAATCCTTCAATTAAGGGTCTTGGGCTCTCTGGAATACTAGTTCTTAGTAGGTAAGTAGGATAGTGCGCGCCACTGCGGCCTGCGGGAACATAAGCCAGCCCCCCCCCCCCCCCTCCCCCCCCCCCCCTCTCTTGTTCAATGGCCCCCCCCCCCCCCCCCTCTTGTTCAAGGGGGGGGGGGCCCCCCCCCCCCCCCCTTGGTCAATAACAGTGTTCTTAATAGGGTTTCACTTGATTTTAATTAACGTTTTAATAGGACTTCTTTTGATTCTAATCGGGTTTTTGTTACTTTTGAAAGATTTCTAATAATATGAATGAGATTTTTATCCCTTCTAATAAGATTTGTATTAGGTTTAACGGGATTCGTATTGAAATAATAGAAATCCTTGTCGAATTAAGTTCAACTCCTATTACAATTGATTGAACTGCTATTAAAATTAGTAGAAGTCCGATTAGAAATGCTACGAAAAAAGAAGGCAAATAGAAATCTTGTTACATTAATAGAAATCCTCTTGAAATTAGAAGGATTCCGAATAAAAAAGCAATAGGAATCCTACCTTGAATATCCGCAGGCCTCTTTTTTACGCACTCTCGTAAGTAGGGATTCAGAAGCGGACCACTTTCTCAGCTTTGAGGGACTGTTGTATCTACGGTGTACCTACTTCCCGAATTTCTCGGAACGAACCAGTAGGAGGATTGGCGTAGGCGCGCAGGACACAAGTTCCGTGTCCTAAACACAAAAAGGAAGGGTGATGCGTTTTTCAGGGAACTGAACAATCAGAGTCTGGGAAGCTTTCGTCTGGTTGGGTTGCCCTGGGGATGCATGAAGCTGCTATAGGGGTTCAGGGTTCAGGGTCAGGAATTCAGAGTCGGGCACGCGAGGCCGGATGCAATTTTGCTCCGGCCTGGCGTCGGTCGGCTGTGACTTGCAGCCGACGGGTGCAAGCCGGATGAGCTGAGTTAGGCACCGAAAGCCATGACGGCTTCGCCTTGCGCGAGCCCACATGTCTAAAAGCGCCGACATTTTTCACATTTCGTTAGCCCAGAAGTCCAAATAACGAACAGTGGAGACACTGTCTGTGGCAGGCACACACCGAGATCTCACAGGCAGCGGCCTCGACATTTGTCCAATGCGGAACTGAACCTTGCCCTCCCCCAAAAGAGCATTTCGCTAAACTCCCTGGTCAAGAACAGCTGGGAACCCGAAAAACCCCTAAGCCCTGCACATACATACCAACACTAGGACCAGAGTAGGCCCTTATTCCCTTTGTCGGGTTTGGGGTTAAACCCCAAACCCCAAGCCCCAAACCCCAAACCCCAAGCCCTCAAACCTCAAACCCTAAACTCTAAACCCTGAACCCGAAACCCTAAACCCTAAACCCTCAACCCAGGTCCGATGGGTCGCTGTCGGCCTTCTCCCACGGCTCGGAGAGCTCAAAGCTGATGTCTCGGGCACCGCCCTCGAAAGACCCGGAGAACACCTAGGGTTTAGGGTTTAGGGTTTAGGGTTTAGGGTTTAGGGTTTAGGGTTTAGGGTCACTAACATGCAGTGTCGTTGCATAGCAAAGATTGTCACAGAGTTTGAGGCGCAAGTTTGTATTTGGGGTTACCACCCACCCCCACCCCACCAGCGGCCTTAGGCCATTGAACATCCCTAGCGCAATCGACAACAGGATGCTGCTTCAAGCATGCTCAGCAGACTTTCAGTAGTGCTCCACCTTTAACGTCGGTAGACTCGAAGTTCGGGCTCCTAAACCCTAAACCCTAAGCCCTAAACCCTAAACCCTAAACCCCACACCCTAAACCCCACACCCTAAACCCTAAACTCCAAACAGTTCTTTGTCCAGAAACGAAGGCGGTGCGGGCCTCTGTACTCGAGGCCGGCATGACAGAGGCAGGGATTTAGGGTTTACGGCTTAGGGTTTAGGGTTTAGGGTTATAGTGTTTAGGGTTTAGGGAATAGGGAATTAGGGTTTACGGTTTAGGGTTTCGGGCTTGGGGAATTCAATCAGTAGCCTTTTAATTTTGTTGTCTTCTGCTAGTCATGGCGTTTGCCAAGGGATTCCAATAACTTATAAGAAGAGAAAGGGGGGATAGGGGCACCCCTTTTCGGGGAGCAGTCAGGAAGACACGAACCTCTGCCCACCACGCCAGATTCCTCAGCCCCCAGCAATGTGGTGTACCCAGGGAACTCAATAACAAGTAAGAGGGTTTAGGGTTAGGGTTTGGGGTTTAGGGTTTAGGGTTTAATCTACCTTACTTCCTTCACATTCAGGTCCTCGCATATTGCTTGAGGTATATTCCGAAACCCGAAGCCCGGAACCATAAGCAGCAGCCCTTTTGCCTTATCTGAGGGTAGTTTCGTGGGCAATTTTTATGGTCCCTAACCTTCTTTCAATCTTGAAGGGTTCTGAAGTATCGGCCCTTGATTTGTATAGGGTACTAAAAGGGGGTACCCTTCTAAGGGCCCTTATTCAGGGCCCATGAAACTACCCTGAGACACCCTAAACCTTAAACCCTAAACCCTAAACCCTAAAGCCTAAAGCCTAAAGCCCAAAGCCTAGCGCCTAAAGCCCAAAGCCTAAACCCTAAAGCCTAAACCCTAAACCCTAAACCCTAAACCCTAAACCCTAAACCCTAAACCCTAAACCCTAAACCCTAAACCCTAAACCCTTACTTCGGCGGTCTTTGGCATCATTGGAACTCGCATCCCGGCGCGGCTCGCAGCCGCAGGTGCCGGGGGTCGACACATCCTCGGAGCCCGAGCCCTAGCCGAGTATGGTTTTGTAGGGGCTCGTAGGGTTTAGGGTTTAGGGTTTAGGGTTAAGGGTTAAGGGTTTAGGGTTAAGGGTTTAGGGTTTAGGGTTTAGGGTTTAGGGTTTAGAACGGGCAGGTATGGTTTTGTAGGGGTTTGTAGGGTTTCCTTGGGGTACTTGGGAACAATTTGTTTTTTTTTGGGGGTACTATAATTCCTAAGAAACAGCAAACAATGTCATTTTGCTAGGGTTCCAAATTCAGTTCTGTTTCAGGTTTCAGGGCTTTAGGGTTGAGGGTTTTCAGGGTTTCAGGGGTTCAGGATGTTTTGGGGGTTTCAGGGTGTCAGGGTTTCAGGGTTTCAGGATGTTTTGGGGGTTTCAGGGTGTCAGGGGTTCAGGGTTTCAGGATGTTTCGGAGGTTTCACGGTTTTTTGGGGCTTCAGGGTTTCCAGGGTTTCAGGGTTTCAGGGTTTCAGGGTTCAGCTTGTTGGGTTTAGGGCTCATTGTTTCGGAGTTTTTGGGGGGTCCAGCATGGCCCGTGACTATGTCATCTTTTCGAAGAGGAGAGTCTGGGCTCTATTCTCTGCGACTCCTGGGTTACTGCAGGAGGCTAGAGCTGCGGACTGTGGAGTTAAGGGCCTCGGGCTTGGGGAACCTGAAAACTACCAATTCTATACCCTAAACCCTCAACCCTCAACCTTAAACCCTAAACCTTAAGTTCCCTGGACTTTACCAGGTCGGACCAGGCCGCAAGTGGGGTCCCCTCTGCAATGCCCTCAGCATGAGGGCTTGGAGGTTCATGGTACTTATGAACCAATTATAAATTATAACTGTACTTATAACCCACTTATAAGCCCCTTGAGTGCCCTAATGTGGTTAGAAGTACAACTATAAATACCGTTCCAAGCCTAAACCCTAAACCATGAACCTCCGAGAGCCCTTGCTTCAGGCTGTTGGGGTTCAGGGCTGGGTTGTTGTTTTACGATTTGAGGTTTAGGGGTTTAGGGTTTTAGATTTCTGGGTTTGGGGTTTTAGGCTTTAGGGTTTTATGTTTAGGGCTTGAGGGTTTGGGGTTTAGGTTGAGGGCTTTAGGGTATTGGGCTTTAGGTTGGAAGCTTTAGGGTTGTTGGTGTAAAAGTGCGTTGGGTCAGGACGAGTTTGGATTTCAAATCATTGTGGGTGCCCTCTTTTTGATGTTTCTTTGTTGTGATTCTTTCTCATGATGATCGAATGCATGGGTTTCCCATACGTCAGAGGTACCCTTCTTGGGGGTTCCTATATGTAGGTTCCTCGGGTAGTTGTGGGCGCATCGGTGGGTTTAGGGTTCAGGGTTCAGAGTTTATTTGGGGTTTGGGGTTTAGGGTTTAGGGTACAAAGCAGTTAGCCCTTTTCAGGCCCAGGACCGCAAAAGATGCAAAAGGTCTAGGGTTTGAAGCTCGCTCAGATTCTCGGACTCGGGGCCGAGTAATTCTCTTTCGGAAGAGCGGGCCTTGACATTTCTCATCAAATCTCCTTAAACCCTAAACCCTAAAACCCAAAAACCCTAAAACCCCTAAAACCCTAAAACCCTAAAACCCTAAACCCTAAAGCCCTGAATCCTGATGTCCCAAGCCCTCCAGGTACAGCGACTGTCGACCATGATGCCTCCAAGAGGCCTGTCGCTCCCCCAAACCCTCAATGACCCACGGAGTATGAGCCCGCAATCTACTATTTGCTTAAGAACCCCCCCCCCAAAAAAAAAATCAAAACAATAAAAAAAGAGTAAGATATCTTAATCCCTATATTGCCCTTACAAGGAAGAAGAATGTCTTTTATTTTTTTGGAGCTCTGAAGCAATTGGTAGTATTGTGGGGTCTTGGCCTTTTGTGGGAGAACACGGGAGCCCGTAAAGGTATGTGTGCCCACAACGGGGCGGGGTTGGACCTTAGATGACGGGCCCTTATAGCTGACATAAGCAGCAGAGACCCAAAGACCCCCTAAACCCTAAACCCTAAACCCTAGACCCAGGGTTGAGCTCAAGCCATATGCATGTCCTGTGTCGCTTGCTCTTACCTCAGCAGCTGGAATCAGAAAACTTCAAACCCTAAACCGCCTAAACCCTAAACCCTAGACCAGAGGCCTTGCATCGGGTTTAGGGTTTAGGGTTCAGGGTTTCGGGTTCAGGGTTTAGGGTTTAGGGTTAGGGTAGTTCAGAGGGGGACGGAGACTTCTGTACAATGACACCCCAGGTTTAGGGTTTCAGGTTTCTAGGCCCACAAACCCTAAACCCCAAACCCTGAGCCCTAAACCCAACAAACCCAAAGCCAAGAAAGCCGAACCCTCAATTCAGGGCCCCAAAGACTGAGCCCTAAACCCAAGAAATCCGATCCCAATAAATCCGCACCCTCGAGCCAGGGCCCGAACCCTGAGCCCTAAACCCCAAACCCTGAACCCTAAACCCCAAACCCTGAGCCCTAAACCCAAACCCTGAGCCCTTTAAACCCCAAGCCAGGAACCCTAAGCCCAATAAACTCGAAAGCGCCACCCAGGGGACCTTAAACCCCAAACCCTAAACCCTAAACCCCAAACCCTCAACCCTAAACCCCAAACCCTGAACCCTAAACCCTAAACCCCAAACCCTGTCAGGTCAGAGGCCCTCAGCCAGACCCTCAGCACCAATTCACGGCGTGAGCTCTGCGGATGGGAGCTGCCCAGTAGACTTGGGCTTGGGGGGCTTAGGGGGGCTGCGGGGGTTTAGAGTTTAGGGTTTAGGGTTTAGGGTGAGCATCCAAGACCCTTGACCTGGAGTAGACTTGAAATTGCGCAGAAGTCCTCATGGGAACGTCGTGGAGGACTTTTCCTGCATGAGAGTCTGAGAGGGTGTATGGGGCTTAAGGATTTGAGAAGTTAGCGATTGAAGGGTTTAAGTTTAGGGAATGAAGCTCCAGCGGTCTTAGTGGATGTTGTGTCCCTAAACCCTAAACCCTAAACCCTAAGCCCTAAACCCTAAACCCTAAACCCTAAACCCTAATCCCCAAGTTTAGCATGGCTTAACCAGAGCTAGTCGGCGTAGCTGTTTGCCGAGCCACGCAGATGCAACACGAACCCCAAGATTCCATGCTTGGGATCCAGGTCTTCCGGGTTTTCCCTAAACCCTAAACCCTAAACCCTAAACCCTAAACCCTAAACCCTAAACCCTAAACCCTAAACCCGGGTGGGTTTTCAGGGTTTTCAGGGTTTTCAGGGTTTGCAGGGTCTTCAGGGTTTTCAGGGTCTTCCGGGCTTTCAGTGTTTTCAGGGTTTAGGGTTTTCAGGGTTTCAGAGGCTTTAGAGTTTAGGGTTTTCAGGGTTTCAGGGGCTTCTTGGGCTTCAGGGGTTTCAGCCCCAAACCCTAAACCCTAAACCCTAAACCCTAAACCCTAAACCCTAAACCCTAAACCCTAAACCCTAAACCCTAAACCCTAAACCCTAAGCAGGGGCTTCAGGGGTTTCAGCCCTAAACCCTAAACCAAACCCTAAACCCTAAACCTTAAGCAGGGGCTTCAGGGGTTTCAGCCCTAAACCCTAAACCCTAAACCCCAAACCCCAAACCCCAAACCCCAAACCCTAAACCCTAAACCCTAAACCCTAAACCCTAAACCCTAAACCCTAAACCCTAAACCCTAAACCCTAAACCCTAAACCCTAAACCCTAAACCCTAAACCCCAAGCAAGAGCTTCAGGGGTTTCAGCCTCTCTGTTTCTGCAGAGGTCGTGTCTGAGGCGGCCTAAAGCGGCGCTCGCCTCCGTTCCGACCTTATGCTGCATGCTGGATGCGTGGCCCAGAGAGTCCAACACCCCAGGCCTGAGTCTCCTTCTCCTAAGTTTAGGGTTTAGGGTTTGGGGTTTGGGGTTTAGGGTTTAGGGTTTAGGGGTTAGGGGTTTGGGTTTAGGGTTTAGGGTTTGTTTGGGGTTTGGGGTTTGGGGTTTGGGGTTTGGGGTTTAGGGTTTAGAGTTTAGAGTTTAGGCTTCAGGGTTTAGGCTTTAGAGCACCTAAGAAAGTTACTCGACGTCACTGTGTCGTTGTAAGGTTACCTTCTTGGGAACCCATGGGGAGCCAAATGGCCGCTTCTCTACAAAAGGGTCCTTTTTGCGGTTCTCATTATAAGGATGCCCCCAATATTTGGAAAAAGGGACCCTAATTTCGGGAACTACCAATTTGGGCGAAACGGGGGCGCACGCCATGTGAAGGCACATTCAGTGTTGATGCGTGCCTGAATCGTGGATCTTCAGGGGTAACCCCAAAACCTTGAAACCCTAAACCCTAAACCCCAAACCCGCTGGTGGTCCCCTGGTGCTACCTTTTTTTCTTCCAATCGCGGCTCCGGTGCAGGGGACAATCTAGAGCAACCCCCCCCCCCCCCTTGGAGGTTCATGGGTTTAGGGTTTAGGGTTGAGGGGTATGTTATGAGTAGGGTTAGCCGTATGGTAACTCTACGTATAACCCTACTTAAGGGTACTTATAACCCTACTTATACCTACCCCTGAACCTTTAAGTAGCTCAAGGTCTGCGCTGCAATCGGCTGCAGCCTACTCCTCGATTGTGTATTTTCATCTTCGCTTGGTAGCCCAGTGGTACCCTTTTCCCTTTTTTGGGTTCAAGGTTCCCGTATACAGTAATCAACCCAAAAAAGGGTGCCCCTAGTGTAATATGTTTCTTGGGCTACCAAGATTCGGTGCATCTCGGCTAAATGTAGCCAGATGTACTGGTGTACATAAGGTGTCGCAGCTGTAGCTGATCCTCGCTGTGCGTGCTGCCTCTCGCTCTCAGAAATTGCAGCACTACCTTTTGTTCGACTTACAACTGCAATCAAGGGCTCTTCATATCTCTTCATCCTCCACAGCAGGAAGGGGATTAGCAGTGTAGAGCCGAAGGTGCAGGGCTTCAGCCCTAAGTAAATCCCTAAACTCTTTAAAAAACCCCATAAACCCTTAGCGAAACCTTAAACCCACTACACCAGTAAGGGTTTAGGGTTTAGGGTTTAGGGTTTAGGGTTTAGGGTTTAGGGTTTAGGGTTTAGGGTTTAGGGTTTAGGGTTTAGGGTTTAGGGTTTAGGGTTTAGGGTTTAGGGTTTAGGGTTTAGGGTTTAGGGTTTAGGGTAAGGGCCGAGAGGCAGCGCGACTGCGACACCGCGTCTCACCTTCCCCCACGCGGACGTGAAAAGAGTGCCCAGGGACTGCAACACCCCTTAGTTACTTGGAGGTTCATGGTACTTACTAACCACTTATAACTGTACTTATAACCTTACTTATAATTGGGATAACCCCTATAAGGCCCTTTAGGGGGGTACCATGAACCTTCAAGTAGGGAATGTTCCCGTAAATATAATATAGGGTCCCTTACATGATTCAAGGATTATGGGCGCTTACGAATATAGGGGACACCTGATATAGACCCCCAAACCGTAGGATTCCCTTGTAAAACAGGACCCCATTGACACCCCTACTATCGTAAACCCCCAAACCCTAAACCCCAAACCCCAAACCCTAAACCCTAATCCCAAAACCCTAAACCCTAATCCCCAAACCCTAAACCCTAAACCCCAAATTGGACTTAATTGAGGGGTATTGGAGTCCGTGGGTGAGCTGCGTTGCATCGGCAGGGCCCTCGGACCTCCAGGGTCCCTACCACCCTGATCCCTAAATCCTAAACCCTAAGTCCTAAACCCTAAACCCTAAACCCTAAACCCTAAACCCTAAACCCTAAACCCTAAACCCTAAACCCTAAACCCTAAACCCTAATCCCTAAACCCTAAACCCTAAACCCTAAACCCTAAACCTTCATTCAATGCGTGCCTGGTGCGATTCTGGGATACAACGGATCTACTGGCAGCTCCTGGGCTCCGAGAGGCCTTGATGCCCTGTTTAGGGTTTAGGGTTTAGGGTTTAGGGTTTAGGGTTTAGGGTTTAGGGTTTCGAACATCGTCTGGCCCCGCAGAGCAGGTAGCCGCCTTGGGGGGGGGGGGGTTTAGAGTAGGGTGTTCATGTAGGTTTGTTGGGTGTAGAAGGTGCACACACAGGGTTTAGGGGTTTGAGGGCACTCACGAGAGCCGCGCGTGACATGTGGGTTGTTCTACCTTGGAGGTCTTCTTCTCGTTACCTCTTGCGATAGGAGGCCCTCAGGGTTTAGGGTTTAGGGTTTAGGGTTTAGGGTTTAGGGCAGGGGGCCCGAATTCAGAACTTCCGATGTGCTCTTGCATCGGTGTGGTCGCCATGACGGAGCCTGCGGCCAGCGACGCGTACAGCCGCATGCTGCATGAAGCCTTGCTCCACCTGGCGGAGAGGCTCGAGAACCCAAAGCGGGAAGCCGTGGGTGTGCCCGATTTTCCAAAGACCACATCTCGGAAGCAGGGGCTCTGTCTTCTTAAGCTACTGAAAGAAGGAGGTTCTCATGATGAACTCAGCTCCTGTCCTGAGCTACAAGCCTTAGTTCGGAGGGGTTTGAGTAAGGCCCAGTAACCCTAAACCCGACACCCGAAACCCTAAACCCTGAACCCTAATCCAACAGCAGGCCCACAGTCCCCCATGTCCCCCTCGTCGTTGCTCGGAAGGCTCGACCAAGTCTGCAGCGATGTCCAGCGCATCGCCACTTGGTTCAGTCAGGCTGTGTGCCAGCATGGCCTAAACCCTAAACCCTAAACCCTAAACCCTAAACCCTAAACCCTAAACCCTAAACCCTAAACCCTAAACCCTAAACCCTAAACCCTAAACCCTAAATGAATCTCGAGTTGCTGAGTTCAACGTAGTTCCGAAGTGCTAGACCTACGCCAAAAACATGCAGCTACCCCCCAACTCTTCGAACACCCTACACCCTAGCATCCTAAACCCTACAACCGCACGTCACGACAAGACTCTTCTGCCGGGTCCGTATGATTAATGATTGTCTCTGTGGGTTATCCACAGAGGGCCCAACACATTTAGGAGAACTGACCACAGACTGTTCACCCTGAGCCCTACAAAATCCTACAAAGCCCTACGCAGCCCTACTAGACGCTCCACCTGTTTTGGCCTCACCCACACGCACCCTAATACCCTAAACCCTAAACCCTAAACCCTAAACCCTAAACCCTAAACCCTAAACCCTAAACCCTAAACCCTAAACCCTAAACCCTAAACCCTAAACCCTGACCAAAGGACTCGAGCGTCTCTGCCCTGGCAGAACGCGTCGCGCAGCTGCCGAAGCCGCCCCCTCTGCCGAAACGACCACCTCTGGAGACAACAGGAGGAGCGTGGATCGGAGACTCCAGTTAGGGTTTAGGGTTTAGGGTTTAGGGTTTAGGGTTTAGGGTTTAGGGTTTAGAGTTTAGGGTTTAGGGTTTAGGGTGTAGGGTTTCTCTTAATTAAGGAACACTCCTTAAAGTATAAGAGGGCTCCTTATATGGTTTAAGGAATATTCCTTCATGAAGGGGTATGGGAGTCTCTGGGTGGACCGGGGGTGTGGGTTTAGGCGTTCGCAATCAGGGCTTCAAAGGTTATAGGGCTTGGGGTTTGGTATAAGCGTTAGCAGTTAGCGTTTCTAAGGTTATCGGGTTTGGGGTATGGCTTGCAGCTTGTCGAAGGGTTTCAGGTGTCTTCACTTAAATGCTAGTTTTAGGGGGGACGGGGGGGGGGGGGGGGGGGGATCCCAGTAGCGGGCTATGAGGACCCAGTCGAACTAAAAAGCCTGCAGTTTGGGCCCTCAGGTGTAGAATTTTGTGGCTTTCGGGCCTGCGGGAAATATCGCCACCCGAAAATCCTGAAACCAGTAAACCTTCAGCCCCTGGCCCGCTTGGGGGATCTCTGATAGTCCTCTGCAAGCTGCTCCCGACTGCAGGGCTCCTTATAGGTCTCAGATGGGTCCTGCACGATGATTGCGGGTTCTTCCATCGTTAGGGCGCTAAACGAAGGGACTACTAGAAGGACTTCCTTATATAAGCCCTGTATATACCTTATAGTCCCTACATACCTAAGTAGCCCCTAAATAACCCCCAAATAACCCCTCATAGTGTTTCACTGGCTGGTTCTTAGTAGGCCCTAATTCTCACGTTCCCTACTAAGAACCAGGGGGTTGACGGTACTGAGAGTCTGACGCAGGAGGCACGGCAAGCTTGACAAAGCGCGTGCTGGCGCTGGAACATGGCCAGCGAGCCGCGGCAGCCAGAGTCATCGTGTTTAGGTTTTAGGTTTTAGGGTTTAGGGCGCATAGGGTGCTCGTCACAGGCATGAAAGCTGACACTGTCAGACTCCAGCGGCACTGGGCCTGACGCAATCATAGTTAGCTCCCCTTCTGGTTTCAGTTGCACATGTCCGATGTACTCTGAGGCCACCAAACAGCCAGGACGCGTCATCCAGGCCCTAGAACTAACCTCAACAACTAAACATAGGGGTACTTCGAATAGTATTATCGCTTTTTTTTATACAGGGACCATAAGGGTATACTAGTAGTAATTGACCCCCATATTCCCATACAGCAAGGACTCTCACATCCCCTCGCTAAAGATTTCCATCAGCTTGCATCACAATAGCCTTCAACCCTAAGGGTTTAGGGTTTAGGGGTTAGGGTTTAAACACCTGAATCCTATTTTTCACTAAGTGGGAGGAGACTAGCTTCATTTTGTTGAACAACCCTGAGACTGCAAGACCTCTAGGGTTTAGGTGTTTTAGACTTAAGGCTACCCCAGGGCCAGTACATCTTAATGAGTATATCAGACTCTTCAGGGGCCTTTCACCCGAAATCCCCTAAACCCTAGACG